ACTTGGCAAGGAAAACAGCCAGAACACTTGGTATGAAAGGAGGTTAAATATTCTATACCTAATTTCCCGAATTTGCGCGGGATAGGGAGCGCAATTGATTAGGACACGAACCATTTTCCTTTAACTACAACCATCATTTCTTTCCATTTCTTTTTGGATGAAGGGAGGTTCGTGCATATCCTCTGATGAAGGGGAGAAGTAAAAAAGAAGCGACCAGGCTCGGTCCCATGCTTAGATATATTGTAAGTAAGCAGAAGGTCAGCAAGGGTCAAATCCAAAGCCTCTAATTTCCGGCGCACCAACAGTGCTGAAAGGATGCGAAAGAAATTAGGATTTACCTGAAGGGGGGCAAGACCTAGCTTATTGAAAACTAAATGATAGAAGGGATGAAGAGGGAATCGGAGGGCGTTAAGGTGCCCTACCGAAAGAAGCAACTCATCCTCCTTAATTCCCTCGCCGGAGGTGAAATCGGCACCCTCGGGATATTCTGCAATTTCTACTCCCTCAGGAATATCAAATTCTTCCATTACCGAAGCAATAGAGAACTTGATACGGCGAATAGAGATGATTGCTTTCTTCTCTTCATGGGTAAGAACATAATCAGAGCCTAAGGTGGATGTTTCGGTTGGAAGAGGGGAAGTACCTAATGGATTCAACAAAGGGCGATCTGTAGAAACCCTAGGAAGGGGAGCCCTAATGCGAACGGGGGAAGATGAAGGTGTGGATTCAGAATCCCCAAGGTCTACACGTTCGGGAGTAGATGAAGTACTCATAATGAAAGATTGAAGAGAAAGATGCGAAACTAACCTGACAAAGCGAAGGAAGCGATGGGATGAAGGACGCAGAAGTGCAGCAAGGGCAAATGTAACTCTTGCAAAATCTTGTGTGACGGAGTAATAATGAAAGACTACGAACCGTTTCTGAAGCAAAGTAAAAACTGGTTTCAATTCCCTCTTTAATAGGAGCCGTCACTCAATTAAAAATGGAATTTAGGGCAAAGTGTGGAGGGAAAAAAACTCCCTCTAATAAAAAGCGCACACGTCACCACTACCCATATCTACATTCCAAGGACATATAAGGCCCATCATGCTCAAGCCCAAGTTGAGGGTATTTACAGCCCAAGACCATTGTTATTTGTCCTCCAACTTCCATCAAGGCCGAATCAAGAAGTCATCAGCCCAGCTTGTCGTCAGCCCAGTGTATGAGTATTTAACATCCGGCCTGTTACCCAAGCCCAGCCGGATCAAAATATATTCAGCCCAAGAATGCACAAATCCTACCATTTGAAGGATTTGCTGTAGAAGGAAAATTCGGATAGGAAGTTCTGTACAAGGCAATTTTTATGTATGGAAAATTCGACAATGGAAAGAACTCTATTAGAAAAGAATGGTTATATAGAAAGAATTGGAGGGCAAGCAACGCGAGTCCTACCATAATTTTGCAATCTTTTGTATATAAATAGAGGCTAAGACCTCCAATAAAGGATCAAACAATTCTACGCTTCTCTACACACTGTTCTTATTTATTTTTATTGTTTTTGAGTGAGTTGTTTTATTTTTCTCAATCATTATTGGTTGGGTGAAATTTTGCACCTACAAACTGGTTTGAAGGACAAGGCTTTGATAAACTCGCGGCTATTCGGCAAATGAGTTATGATTCAAATGTAACAAATACCAGAGAAGTCAACACCAAACAATTAACTATGGAAGCTCGGCTGATTCACAAGATCATAATGTACTCTATTCTTCCCAAATCTGGCAGTCGATCCAAAGTTTCCCACATGGACGTCTTTCTTATCTGGTGTGTCTTAAATGGCAAGCACTTTGATCTTGCATACATTATATTTCATCACCTTCTTACATGCAAAAGAAAGAAAAAGGTCTCTCTTTATTATCCCATGGTTCTCTCTCACATATTTATGGCTAAGAAGGTTCCGCTTGATAGTCGTGAAACAGTCAAACCAGGGCCAAGACACATTCTCACTGCCTCCAATCTTGCGTCAATGGGGCTAAAAAGGGATTACAATAATGTGTGGTTTTATCCTAGGCAACGAAGGTTGGAAGAGGCTCGAGCTAGAGGAGAAGAGATTGAGGATGTTGATGATGGGGATGAAGATGACCACGAAAGTGATGACGATGATGAAAATGAGGAAGTTCCAGTTGAAAATCGTACCAATCGTGCTCTCTTGTTGGAAATTCTCAAAGGGACTCGTCAAAACCAAGCCACTCTTGAGAAACAACAAACTCAACTTGACGAAATACACATGGCAATTGCTCATCTTAATGACGATTTTACAGAATTTCAAAACCAATATGGACCTTCTTCTCCTTAGAACAGTTTTTCTCCATTTCAAACCCTCTTTTGTATGCACTTATTAGCTTTATTTGCTTTAGAGAAGCATTTTTCTGTGTTTTATAAACTGTGCCTTTATCTGTCATATGGTACTCGTGTTCACGTTCTCTTTATGTTATCTATAAATTGCCATATTTGCTTATCTTTTGCCCTTTAATTCATTCTTCTCTGATATTTCCTGAAATGGCAAGTTATTTTTCTTTATCTATTCATTTAGTCTCCCATTTTTTTTGAGATGACAAAGGGGGAGAAAGATGTGTTATCATGCTAATGTGCTATTCTATTGCTTTTTTAAGTATCTTGATAGATGCATATTGATAGGATTCGAAGCTCAAAATTACAATTCATGCATATCATTCTCATCTCATCTCTCAAAGAACATAAAATTAGCTCATTAGCTTTTTAAACACATTCATATGAGCCTTACATCATACTGGAATTCATTTTAAGCCTCCTACTGAAAATAGAGAAGGCTCTACAAAAATTAGAGAAGGTTCAAGGGAAAGTAGAGAAGGCTCTACAAAAGTAGAGAAGGCTCTAGATTTGTAGAGAAGGCTCAGAAAATTAGAACAGGCTCCATTTCAATTAGAGACGGCTCTAAAAGCATTTTTCAACGAAATGAAGTTTCCATCCAAAGAGTAGGCTCCCAAAAAGGAGAGCCGGCTCTCAAGGCTAGGGAGCCGCCTCCTCTTGTTTACAAGAGCCGGCTCCTTCTAGGGTTTGGGTAATTCATATAGTTTTGTATGTGATATTACTTATACAGCAGGGTGTGAATACTTAATTATGAAGGTGAAGATTGTATTTTTTTTAACGAATATAAATTTTTTTTATGCTTTCTTATTAATATACACACACGCGCCCACACACACACATATTATTTTATCTATATTCACTTCAAATCAGAAAACAGTATGGTGAATTCAGATAATTTCATATGTGCTATTACTTAAATAACAGGATGTGAATACTTAGTTGAGATGGTGAATGTACTTAGAAGAGATTTGCCGGTTCAACCAAATATCTCTATATAAGTTTGTTGTTGTAGATATACTTAGTCATGTCAAACAAGCAGTGCATTTAATTATACATTTACAGCTAATGTTGTGAGTTATTACACAATTTTGTGTTCAACTAATCCTAACCTACCACATTAATTGGCTATGCACATTGACTATATATCCACCATAAGTTCTTCCCTTTCTGGTAAACCAATGGTTAACCTTCCCCCAAAAGGTAACCAGCATACACAAAACAAGTTGGCTCAGAAAATGAAAATAGAAGAACTCCCACCGCCGTTGCTCAGTGAGGTGGTTAGTAGAGTGGCAGCAAATAATTTTCAAGACCTACTACAACTTCAACAATGGTAAGGATTTAATTGTACATTATTGTTTTATGTTTATAATATTTTTTTCATTCACGAAATTTTTTGTTAAAAGTGTTTAAATATGTGCAGTTCTCATAAGCTAGCTATGGTGTGTTTGGAGCCATATATGTTATGACTTCTTAGTTTTAAATCCTTGTACGAAATATAAACGGGGGGTACCAGTGATACTTACTATTTGCGATGCGTGTTCATGCAAAAGGTGTTGATAATGGTAATTTGGAGGCTATGTTTGTCTCCGGAGTGGTACGTTGCTTGCACTCACTTTACTAAATTGTGAAAGTAATTTAATTGGGTTTATTTTTAATAACTTTATGTTGGATGTAGGAGCTATTTTTCTTGCATCAAAATCGGGCAGATGGCCTAAGTATTCTAACCAAAGGTGCATATCTTCAGCATAGTGGTTGTAAGTTTGCTTTAGCCATTGCATTAATATATGGCAATGATGCTGATAAAGTAAATGGTATTCAACAACTTTCGAACATGAACATAGACATAACAAATAAACTGATCATAAAACATCGGAGGGAACAAATGATTTCAATAGTGAAAAGAGGGTGGTCAAATGGGTTATTTCATAACATTCCTGCTTGTTGTGAGGAAGATTATGGACCACCGAACTATGAAGGTGACATGGTTCACGTCAAATGGTGGATGGTCGAGCGAATAAATGAGGAGAAAATAAAATGTAATCTTTGCCATTGCGATCTCCACATATTGATGGTGTCTGGCATCATTGGAGAAAAAGTCATAGTCAACTGATGATAACCGTTGATGTTGTTTTCTGTATGTAATGTGATATATGTGTATGTATGTAATGTGATGTATGTAGTGTGATGTTGTATTTAACTTTTGAAGTAACAAAATGGAACTTTTGGGATGGATAATCTAATTAACACTGTCTAATATAAAATCGCCATATGCAATAGGCATTTAAGTATCGCCATCATTGGAGAAAATAGCCAAATGCCATTCACGGAACCATGTCACCTTGAAATTAATGGTTTTAACCTGTCCCAAATCACAAACAAAATGGACTAAACAATATATGTACACATACATATTTCAATTGACATAAATAGGCCTGAATAAAAATCCTTTTCATTTTCCATATATACAAAACCCAAAAAACAAAAGTGAACAAGTTATCCATACATTTACAAATCTTTACTCAAAAAGGGATATATTTTTGATGCCACCATATTCTGTTATCATCCATCAACCATAGTATACCTATACACCATCAATTTGTCATGAATTTCTTAACTCAAAACAAATTTTGCCGAGCTGGAGGATTGATCTCGGATGTTGTCTCCTCCGACATTGGCATCAAATTACAGTCACCACTGGTGTGATCAACATCCTTAAAATGGATCATACAAAAACAATGTTTGTACATACGTTAATTAATGCAAAGTTAAAACATACATGTTTAGAATATATTGCAGAAGCATAAATTTTATAAGAGATAAACTTACAAGATAATCTGAGAATCGGCATTCATGATACGAAACAAATGGAGTCCCCTGCCAATATATTCTCAATGTTCATTAACTAATGGATTTCAAAAGTATGAAATAATGTTCATTAATTTTTATATACCTAGTTCAGAAAAAAAGTTTGTTTAAACCTGTTCAGTTGGTGGAGTCCTGGGATGACTGAAGTTAGTGGTAGGGCAATATGTCATTTGGTCGATATTTGTTTCCGAATGTAAACGTGCACATGGGTGATGATCTTCGTAAATCCAAGTGGCGTCGCTAGGAATGTCACAACCCTTATTTCAATATAAACATTCTTAATTAAGAGATTATCATACTGAAAATTATAATAATATATAAAAAATAAAAAATCAATGTTTTCATTTAACAAAAGGAGAAAACTCACATTCAGACGTACATATGTAATAGGTGGCACGATACTACTGCCACCTACACCTGCACTAACACTGTTGTTGCCATTTGATTTCTACAAAATAATAGATTTATTCATTGTAAAAACAAAATTATGACATTGCTAATATCAAAATGTTAATGACATATACTGAAAAATTAAATTATCAAATAATAGAAAAATAAATTAAATTAACCTTTCGTTTCGCATAGTTTTTTTTTCTCTGCATGTATTGTTCAAACTTATTCTTCTTCCTGCGCCTTGGTCCCTTACCACCTGTTTCTTTATTCTTTATACCCTTGGCATTACTTCCGGTCACGGCTTCCCTAATGATACTTTCATTATGTTCATGATTATTACTTCTTTCAGTTGAAAAAGCTGAATTGGTTGCCTCTTGTTCAACATCGAAACATTGCCTTTCAACATTAATGTGTTTCCTTTTCCATTTCATCCCCTTTAGCATCAAATTATTGAATACATCTTCTTTCTCGGATGCAAATGAGCTGATTTCTGTAAAAAAAACGACATAACATCCTATACCTTCTGCGTACTTCAAGTTTAGGATCAGCAATAACTTCACATCCACGGATGTCTTGTACGCTGTTATCCCTAGCTTTTCTCATCCACCTTTTTAGTATATACATAGAAGGTAATTCTTTGAAATACTGAGTGTCGTCTTTCAGTACTTTAAGTACATGGCTGCACAAAATACCTTCCATTGCATATTTCCCGCACGAACAAGTTAGAAAGCCATCATCCCACCTTGTTACAGTCCGATCCATACTGCCATCATGAACAGATACTCTAGAAACACGTAATCCATTTTCATCAAAACTTGTTCCTTCCACGGTACCAACCACACAAGCTTCTATGAATTGGTCCTGGAAAAGTTCAAAAATCTTCAATGTGTACATATTGCCCACTTGTTTTAGAATGGGACAATTTTGTTTAAGTCTAGGTAGTTTACTGAGTAAACCATACTCAGCTTGATATTCCTTGTACCGTTTGTCTGACAATAGCCTGTCAAGGTGCATGAAGAAATCTGGAATACTTATTTTCCTGGTTAAGTACTCTTTCAAGCAGCTATTTAAACTTTCACTCAGCTGCGTTGTCCGCATTCCAGCGGTAAACCAATGTTTAACAAATGGATAACCCCATTTTTCTCTTAAACCAAACAAATTGTTCAACCATGTGTTACCAACAACATTGTAGTCCCTTAACATTACATCCCATTGTATACAAAAATCATCCTCATCATCATAACAGTACATGAATTGACTCAGCACACTTTTAATCCCTTCATCATTCCTAAAAATAGTGCCTACATGCTTTTGTGCATTTGCCATAATGTGCCACGTGCAAAGTAAATGTCTTGTCCTCGGCATAACTTGTGCCAACGCCTTTGCCATTGCACCATCTTGGTCAGTAAGAATCGTTTGTGGTGCTTTACCTAACATCACATTCAAGAATATAAAAAAAAAAGGCATGTAAATGAATAGGCAATCTTATCATACATCATCACAAAAATTTTTAACAGGATTGAAAATTTGAAGGCAAGAACATTATGGCCCAATAAAATATCTTCATTTGAAAAAGTAATTCACATAAAAAAGGTAAAAAAGAATGGCCATGTTCAATTATTAAAGGCTGAAGTTGATCATGCCCTTTTTTAACCCTTCCTTTTTTTTTCTTTTTTTCTTTTATATATATATATATATATATATACTTTTTCAGTATGATTCTGATTTTTATTAAAAGGGCATGATCAACTTCAGACTTTAATAATTGCAAAAAAAAAAAAAAAAAAAAAAAAAAAAAAAAAAAAAAAATTTACATTTAGACTACTTACCCGACATTGCATTCAAGAATGAATCAAACAGCCACGCAAAGGAATTGGCAGTCTCGTCATACATCAATGCTAGTCCAAAGACAGCAGTCTCCCGATAATGATTCAAACCAAGAAAAGCCGCAAAAGGACGATTGCTTTGGACGAGCTTGTATGTCGTGTCGAATGTGACGACGTCTCCAAAATGCCCATAGTCAATTATCATTCTCGAATCTGCCCAGAAGATATTAGTTATCATTTTATCGCTATCCAACTACACGGTGTGAAAAAATGAAGGATTCTCACAAGATTGAATTTTGAAATAATTCATCAGCCATGTCTTCTCTCCGTATTCTAACTCACTCTGTCTTCTTGTCCTTAGAAAATTTTGTTGATCAACTTTGGTGTAGCCAATTGATTGCCTCCCACCAGCCTGCCTGCTCATTAACTCAAATGCATTACCGAGTGGAACTCCAGATTGGCAGGCCAATTCCACATCAATTGCTTGGGCAACACTTATTCTTCGTTGTGATGGCATCATATGTGTGCATTCTTCAATTATCATAGGATGATTGTGAGATTCGAAAAAATTATATACAACATACTTTCCCTTCTTGCGGTCATATCTAATTTGCATCAGTGCACCACAACCGGTTCGAGTTTCCGCCCTGGGCTTTCTTGTATGGATATCCCTCTTGTCATTCACCCTAAAACCTTGTTTGGAACACACAAACTTGCTTGTTGTAATATTTCCTGTCTTACGGCTTTTATTTGCATAATCCTTACGAATACTGAATCCAACTTTACCCCCATAAGCATTATAAAAGTCGTATGCTTTATCCTCAGTGTCAAACTGCATGTTCAATTTTGGTGTGAATTCTATGTCAATGGGATTGACAACTTCTGCTACTAAGTTTTCAGAAATATTGATTTCGGCAACGATTGGAACGCTTGTTCTCAGATCATTAATACTTAAGTCATTATCCGTTGGGATAACTTCAGTATGAATGCTACAACAAGCAAAAGGTCCATCAAAACGTTAAAGTCAGTTTCTATAACTTGTGACAAAATATATATATATACTAAATATTTACCGAACTAATGAAAAGGGCTAAAAAATCGTACAATTATCCAAGATTTCAGATACTTTAGAATGCTTAACCAAAGTCAATTTCAAGTAAAAAAAAATACCATAATTTAAATGAACTGATGACAAATGAAAGAATTAAAAAAATTTAACTTTAGGTGTGAAATTAGTTTTGCAGAGGTATGAAATTAGTTTGCAGAACTGTGTTAATTGCTTATTTTGATGGTGAAGGTGATCAGTGTCCCTATTTATTAAACTTCACAATGTATTTTTTCTCATAAATGTGACATAATAGCCTGTGAAATGTGTAATTGCCGCATACATGAGAAGACAAAATATTTGGATAACACATTGGTATCTAATGAAGCCAACTCAGTTAAAAAAAAAACAATTAGGGAAGATTTTACATTCACTAGAATGGTTATTGAAGATTATAGAAGAAAATCCTACAATTAACCAAGATTTCAAATACTCTAGAATGCTTAACTAATGTCAATTTGAAGTAAAAAAAAAAATCATAATTTACACTAACGGATGACAAATGAAAGAATTAAAAAATGTTAAATTAGGCGTGAAATTAGTTTGGCAAAGGTGTGAAATTAGTTTTGCAGAACTGTGTGAATAGCTTATTTTGATGGTGAAGGTGATCAGAGTCCCTACTTATTAAACTTCACAATTCATTTTTTCTCATAAATGTGAGATAATAACCTGTGAAATGTGTAATTGCCGCATACAGGAGAAAACAAAATATTTAGATAACGCATTGGTATCTAATGAAACCAACTCAGTTAAAAAAAAAACAATTATGGAAGATTTTACATTCACTAGAATGGTTATTGAAGATTATAGAAAAAAATCCTATAATTATCCAAGATTTCAAATACGCTAGAATGCTTAACCAATGCCAATTTCAAGTAAAAAGAATCATAATTTACACTAACGGATGACAAATGAAAGAATTAAAAAATGTTAAATTTAGGTGTGAAATTAGTTTTGCAGAGGTGTGAAATTAGTTTTACAGAACTGTGTGAATAGCTTATTTTGATGGTGAAGGTGATCAGCGTCCCTACTTATTAAACTTCACAATATATTTTTTCTCATAAATGTGACATAATAACCTGTGAAATGTGTAATTGCCGCATACATGAGAAGCCAAAATATTTGGATAACGCATTGGTATCTAATGAAGCCAACTCAGTTAAAAAAAAAATAATTATGGAAGATTTTACATTCACTAGAATGGTTATTGAAGATTATAGAAGAAAATCCTAGAATTATCCAAAATTTCAAATCCGCTAGAATGCTTAACCAATGCCAATTTCAAATAAAAAAAATCATAATTTACACTAACGGATGACAAATGAAAGAATTAAAAAATGTTAAATTTAGGCGTGAAATTAGTTTGGCAAAGGTGTGAAATTAGTTTTGCAGAACTGTGTGAATAGCTTATTTTGATGGTGAAGGTGATCAGAGTCCCTACTTATTAAACTTCACAATGCATTTTTTCTCATAAATGTGACATAATAACCTGTGAAATGTGTAATTGCCGCATACATGAGAAGACAAAATATTTGGATAACGCATTGGTATCTAATGAAGCCAACTCAGTTAAAAAAAAATAATTATGGAAGATTTTACATTCACTAGAATGGTTATTGAAGATTATAGAAGAAAATCCTATAATTATCCAAGATTTCAAATACGCTAGAATGCTTAACCAATGCCAATTTCAAGTAAAAAGAATCATAATTTACACTAACGGATGACAAATGAAATAATTAAAAAATGTTAAATTTAGGTGTGGAATTAGTTTTGCAAAGGTGTGAAATTAGTTTTACAGAACTGTGTGAATAGCTTATTTTGATGGTGAAGGTGATCAGTGTCTCTACTTATTAAACTTCACAATGTATTTTTTCTCATAAATGTGACATAATAACCTGTGAAATGTGTAATTGCCGCATACATGAGAAGATAAAATATTTGGATAACGCATTGGTATCTAATGAAGCCAACTCAGTTAAAAAAAAAACAATTATAGAAGATTTTACATTCACTAGAATGGTTATTGAAGATTATAGAAGAAAATCCTAGAATTATCCAAGATTTCAAATACACTAGAATGCTTAACCAATGCCAATTTCAAGTAAAAAGAATCATAATTTACACTAACGGATGACAAATGAAAGAATTAAAAAATGTTAAATTTAGGTGTGAAATTAGTTTTGCAGAGGTGTGAAATTAGTTTTACAGAACTGTGTGAATAGCTTATTTTGATGGTGAAGGTAATCAGTGTCCCTACTTATTAAACTTCACAATGTATTTTTTCTCATAAATGTGACATAATAACATGTGAAATGTGTAATTGCCGCATACATGAAAAGACAAAATATTTGGATACCACATTGGTATCTAATTAAGCCAACTCAGTTAAAAAAAAACAATTGTGGAAGATTTTACATTCACTACAATGGTTATTGAAGATTATAGAAGAAAATCCTACAATTAACCAAGATTTCAAATACGCTAGAATGCTTAACTAATGTCAATTTCAAGAAAAAAAATTCATAATTTACACTAACGGATGACAAATTAAAGAATTAAAAAATGTTAAATTTAGGTGTGAAATTAGTTTTGCAGAGCTGTGTAAATAGTTTATTTTGATGGTGAAGGTGATCAGTGTCCCTACTTATTAAACTTCACAATGTATTTTTTCTCACAAATGTGACATAATAACCTGCGAAATGTGTAATTGCCGCATACATGAGAAGACAAAATATTTGGATAACACATTGGTACCTAATGAAGCCTACTCAGTTAAAAAAAAAACAATTATGCAAGATTTTACATTCACTAGAATGGTTATTGAAGATTATAGAAGAAAATTCTGCAATTATCGAAGATTTTAAATACTCTAGAATGCTTAACCAATGTCAATTTCAAGTAAAAAAATATCATAATTTACACTAACAGATGACAAATGAAAGAATTAAAAAATGTTAAATTTAGGTGTGAAATTAGTTTTGCAGAGGTGTGAAATTAGTTTCACAGAACTGTGTGAATAGCTTATTTTGATGGTGAAGGTGATCAGTGTCCTTACTTATTAAACTTCATAATGTTTTTTTCCTCATAAATATCACATAATAACATGTGAAATGCGTAATTGCCGCATACATGAAAAGACAAAATATTTGGATAACACATTGGTACCTAATGAAGCCAACTCAGTTAAAAAAAAATAATTATGGAAGATTTTACATTCACTAGAATGCTTATTGAAGATTATAGAAGAAAATCCTACAATTATCCAATATTTCAAATACACTATAATGCTTAACCAATGTCAATTTCAAGTAAATAAATATTATAATTTACACTAACGGATGACAAATGAAAGAATTAAAAAATGTTAAATTTAGGTGTGAAATTAGTTTTGCAGAGGTGTGAAATTAGTTTTGTAGAACTGTGTGAATAGCTTATTTTGATGGTGAAGGTGATCAGTGTCCCTACTTATTAGACTTCACAATGTATTTTTTCTCAGAAATGTGACATAATAACCTGTGAAATGTGTAATTGCCGCATACATGTGAAGACAAAATATTTGGATAAAACATTGGTACGTAATGAAGCCAACTCAGTTAAAAAATAATAATAATTACGGAAGATTTTACATTCACTAGAATGGTTATTGAAGAAAATCTTACAATTATCCAAGATTTCAAATACGCTATAATGCTTAACCAATGTCAATTTCAAGTAAAAAAAAAAAAATCATAATTTACACTAACGGATGACAAATGAAAGAATTAAAAAATGTTAAATTTAGGTGTGATATTAGTTTTGCAGAGGTGTGAAATTAGTTTAGTAGAACTGTGTAAATAGCTTATTTTGATGGTGAAGGTAATCAGTGTCCCTACTTATTAAATTTCACAATGTATTTTTTCTCATAAATGTCACATAATAACCTGTGAAATGTGTAATTGCCGCATACATGAGAAGAAAAAATATTTGGATAACAAATTGGTACCTAATGAAGCCAACTCAGTTAAAAAAAACAATTATGTAAGATTTTACATTCACTAGAGAAGATTATAGAAAAAAATCCTACAATTATCCAACATTTCAAATATGCTAGAATGCTTAACCAATGTCAATTTCGAGTAGAAAAATATCATAATTTACACTAACAGATGATAAATGAAAGAATTAAAAAATGTTAAATTTGGGTGTCAAATTAGTTTTACAAAGGTGTGAAATTAGTTTTACAGAACTGTGTCAATAGCTTATTTTGATGGTGAAGGTGATCAGAGTTCCTATTTGTTAAACTTCGCAATTTTTTTTTCTCATAAATATCAAATATTAACCTCTGAAATGTCTAATAAATCACCTAGAGCAGGCTCCAATATTTATTGGAGCCTGCTCTAGGTGATTTAGAGCCTTCTCTAAATAGAGAAGGCTCAATTACAAAGTGGAGTAGGCTCTACTTTGTAGTGGAGGCGGCTCTACTTGGTAGTCGAGGCGGCTCCACTTTGGGTGGAGCCGGCTCCTTTATGCATTTTTTCATTTTTTCGTTTCCAGCCCGATTTGGCTGCTGCATGCATTTAATACCAATTTTTTTGATAACACATTCATACCTACTGAAGCCAATTCAGTTCTAAAAATCAATTATGGAAGATTTTACATTCATTACAATGATAGATCGATGACAAATGAAAGAATCATAAATTTTCTAAATCGACTGTAAATGAACAATATATTATATGCACAATATTAATAACACTTACCAACAATCAAGCATTAATTAGGTCAATTGTAAATACCACATCAGGTCCATTGTAGATTTCCTTCCTGTAGATGAATAGTTGACATTGCATTGAGAAATCAGCACACTGCAATCTGGGTTTTGATTCAAAAAAGATTATAAAAAAGTAAGAATAGAGGAGAGAGGAATTAGGGTTTCCAATAAAAAAGAAATTCAAAAGCAATATGTTTTTTTCATGGAACAAAGAGAGAGGAATAAGAGTTTGGATTAAAATGAAAAAGGAAGGAGGGAAATAACAAAAGCAAAAGGGAAGAAGAGGAAAGTGAAACTGCAGAAGGGCGGAGGCGACAGCTTATTTCAACTTTCCCTCTTTTTTTTTTTTTCTTTTTTTTTTTTTTTTTATCTTTTTATTGACTTTACAGTTGGCACGTTAAGTTACTGTGCCGTTTGTGTACTTCTTTTTCTTGTGCCAAGCCAAACACGGCATTAAGCAACTCACAGCAGGGGACCGTATGGTAACTCACAGCAGGGGATTTGAGCCCATCACACACACCAAAAGACCCCCAGAATCAACTCGAAAGGCAAATCCAAACAACAGCGACCGACGAACCACACCCAACAACCCAAAAACAGCCGGCCACCAAGCCTAGCTATAAATATTTAGCAAGTAAACTGCTCTGGCTATACATGCCCACAAACCTGAGAAAAGAAAACATACAGCTTCTATTTTTAGAAGAAAGACTCATCTTTACTTACCTTCACCCATTAAGAATTTTGTAATTATAATATTGTGATCGGCAAATTTTGTAATACAAAACTCACACTATGTAATATAATGATTATATGTTTAGCGAGTAAAATAAAAATAAAATAGTTAGGCGAAGGAATTTACATTAAAAGGTCAAAAAGGTCTAAGATCTTCTGCATTGGACAAATCAATGGAAGATCTTTTACGAAGGACAAGATAATCTCGAGATCTTCTGCAGAGGGCGTAACAGTCCGAGAACTTCTATAAAGGGCAGACAGTACAAAGTTCGTTTTGTAGCCCTTCCTTTACTTTTGTTACAGTTACTTGCTTTTGCATTATTGTCCAACATTTAAACTTTAGTTTTCATACCCCTAGTTCGTTTATATGGTCCTGGGGTTAGTTTGGCTTCAAGTCCCCTTAGTCAAGGCAAGAAAGAACTAGCTGAGAGGATCATTCCAGCTTTCCCCCCTCACTTAGTTCTTTGGCATTGCCCGCACTAAAAATCTATTGGCTGTGTTTGGAGTTGAAATTGGATCTTAGAAATTGAAATGAGTGGAATTGAAGAAAATTTTGATTTATTTTTCTGAGTTACTTTTCTTCAATTCCACTAACTTCAATTCCATGTATGCGCCCTGTTGGCCGACAACCACAATTGTTGCTAATAGCATAATTTGCCCTCATTATGTTTAGGCTTTTGATCCTGTTTTTTATTTTAATGACAATTAAACATTTTTTTGATCATATAAAGAGTTATATATAATTAGGGAACCATCTGTGGTCTTAATTTGGATATGCTGTACCAAATTTTATTTACATCATTTGGCTAGACATAATAGTATCTTTTGGGAAGAAATAGCAATTTATGCCAACTGTGATACTTTCAAGTTGGAGAACCTTGAGAAAATTCAAATTTCAAATGAGGAAAACTTATTTCGTTGGTCTCAACATAGATTCGACTTTGTATACCAAGGTACAAATGATTCTATTAAGTGCCAATTTCCTTCTTCCACGTCTATCCTTTCTAGTTCCTAATAACTTACTCCACTAGAAACGGTACCAACCAAATCTGAAATAGATCACAAATTTAGAGTGTATATTAATTTAGGTGAACAAGAACTGGGGCATGGTTGTCTTTGGGTTGATCATATTTTGGCAGCAACCACACACAACTATCTCATTAGATTCAGATTCAAATCAAGTGCAACTGCCATGACTAAGTACGATTTAATTCCTCAAACCTCACAAGACGAGGCACAACTTTAATAACAAGAACATTAAACAACTACGCATTCTTCAATCAGTTTTAAACATCAAAACCTTCCATCACGGTAACAACTAACGATAAATACTAAAAAAACTTCAAATAAGCTGAACACCCGAAGAAGCCACCTCCCACCTTATTAAGATCACTACTTCTGGTAGTTGGACCCCCCCAACGGTAAAGGCATCAGAGTGCTGCAATGCACTCGATTTCAATTCTTGCATTCAGAGGTAGAGCTGCCACTTGGTATGTTGAACGAGCTGGAGCAGGCGATGGAAAGTCTGCAGCACAAACCATCTAATCAGGTAGGATCAAGAAGACGATGGTGTCCATATCAATAACAAATTCAGCCCTATTATTATTATTATTATTATTATTTTTTTTTTTTTTTTTTTTTTGGGAGGGTTCTTTCATTCGCTACATGCTAGATCATGAATCAGTAACTGCATTCAATTTCCAAAATGATCTCAATTGATTTCAACTTTATTATGTTTGGACTTTGTCACCACTCATGTGCAAGAGGAAACTTGGTGGAGCACAAACGTTAAGTGGTTTAATACATTGTTTTACACTTCCGGTTAAGAATACTAATTTTTCACCCAGAATGAAACAGGCAACTAGAAGGAAGCAGAAGATAATGAGCTCAAAAGACATGAATGGAATGTAAAGAAGAATAATGAAAGACTAGTTCGACCATTTTGATAAAAGCCAGTCATATTATGACAGAAGCCAAGCATGTAAGTTTTGAGGAAAGATGGTCACACACCTTGAGAAATTTAGACAACGGGCAAGTTCAAAGTTCATCATTAATTCGTTTTTAACAACATGCATGATTAATCAAACAGTGAAAGTTTTAGCCAATTGCACATGTAAAAGCAGTTGCTAAACCAAACAACAGAATTTCACTGACCATTCCAAAAAATCCCAATTAATTTCAGCTTTATTAGGTTTTGGCTTTGTCACCGCTCACGCGCAAGTGGAAACTTGGTGATGCACAAATGTTAAGTGGAACAATATATGCATTCATTGCTTGTGTAATTTCAATTAAGAATACTAGTTTTTCACTTAGGAAAAAAAAAAAAAACCCAGAAGGAATTAGAAGACAATGAGCTTAGAAGACATGAATGAAATGTAAAAAAGAAGAATGAAAAACTAGTTTAACCATTTTGATAAAGCCAATCATCTTATCATAGAAGCTAAGCTCATGTAGGTTTTGAGGAAAGATGATCGATCACACACATTGAGAAATTTAGAGAACATGGAAGTTCAAAGTTCGACATCTAAAAATCACGGACACTTCTACGAGGTGTCGTGTCCGTATCGAGTGTGGGACACCGACCCTCCATAGACACTTTTAGACACGTATCTGACACTTCATGGACGTGTCTATTATTTAAAAATAAATTTTATTATTTCAAGCACTTGGCCAAAACATCTCGTACAATTAGTCGACACATTCCAAACACTCGACCAATACATCCTACATTCTTCGTCTTATATAAATAAATAAAAACATACAACCACCCTTAAAACAATATTACGAACAATTATCAAAGTGCTCAACCTTCAAAGAAAAAAAACTTAACTATAATGACAAGATAGGCTAGTAATATCATATATAATATAACATATTCTTTTTAATATTCAAATAGCGACAGCTTCTAACTCATGTAACTTTAGTATATAATTTATATATTAATTAAAATTCTATGACTGTCTCACTCAACTGATATATAAATGAAATTTTATATTAATATTATCCGTGTCCGTGTCCGTGACCGTGTCCTACTTTTTTAGAATTTGACGTGCCGGCATATCCTTGTCCCATGTCTGTATCCGTGCTTCTTAGTTCAACATTAATTCATTTTTAACAATATGCATGATCAATCGAAGAGTGAAAATTTTAGCCAATTTGCACAAGTAAAAGCAGTTGGTAAACCAAAAACAAAATTTCACTGCTCATTCCTAGAATCAATTCTCTCCCCACCCCCAACAGGACCTTCACATCAGGTTCTAACTCATAAAATAGGGTGAAATTTCAAGTCACCAAATTACAAATTGGAGAATTAAATACACCTGAGTTTATCAGAATCATTTCCCTTAAAAGTGGTGACGTGTACACAGGTACTAAATTATACTAGTGACCCAAACTCTAATTTTCAGATGCTGATAATTCACTGTAATCGCATTATCTTTAGGTGCTTTTGTCATCACAGTGCAAACATGGCTAAAGGTGAGAAACATTATGTTGTGCCTTGGTATGCAGAATTTAAGTATTAATTCTACATTAAAACACATTGATTTCAATTTGTTAAACTCACATTTAGCATATATTTCATTCACTTTCTTGAAGTCTTGCAAATCAGCCAACCTGTAGGGGGAAAAATAATAGAAAAATTATGATATTTGCAGCTCTCACTCTCTGAGAATAAAGGGTTCAAAGCAAAAAATACAATTATTACACACATGATCGTTGTCTTAACCACTGAGGAATAGCTGGCACCACTGGCTTTCAGTATCTCCCCCATGTTCTTGAGAACCTGTGAATTTTCATAAGCTCAAATCTGTCTGTTAGCAATCCACCTCCCAGCATCAAGGGGCAGTTTTTCACCAAATTGAGGAGTAGGGAAAAAGAGAAGACAAGGGCAGATATAATCATTTATCAAGTGCACTTTACTTGTCAGCTGAAGATACATCAGAGAATCCAAAAAAAACCACAATTCATTTCTAAAACTAAAATGAGGCAGGAGGTATCTAACACTATGGAAAAGATTTTGACCATTGAAAAAAGCAAGTGATCAATCTAAATATTGGACATTGGGGGCTTCACTACTATTCTCGACGTATCAAATTGTATCAAAGTGTAAATTCACGAGTAACTTGTCTTTTTCCCGCCTAGTAATATGAACCTGTCATTCAGCTCTATGATAGCTCCTAATTAACACTTTTTCTTATCTAATGAAAAGTTTAACTAGTTCTCTTGGTTTTCATTTGACAGGTTGAGGCCAGACCGTGCTAATCAACAACTGGTCAAAAATCAAAACTATAATGATCGAATTTCAGAATTTTAATCTGGCATAAACTAGCCGTCTACCAATAATACTCATAGAAATCCATAAAATATTTTTATTGTGTATCCACTTTCAACAGCTTCACTAGCAGAGCATATAGTTGCTTGAACTCAGCTCCCTTAGTCGCAAAAGTTCAGAGTACAAGCATAAAGCTAACATTACGAAGAAGCTCGGAGCAACAAACCAAGTTTGAGCTTTGTTATTCCTTTAATAGATTATAGATGACTCATGAAAAATCTAGAACGTAGACATACAATACATTGTACACCAAACATGCTTTTTTTCAAAGTTGGGTAAAAATAGAGGACAAAAATATCCTAATACTAATTTGAAGTTTATTGATCAGCATAATTTACCTGCTCTGTTTGGTCCTCAACACTATCCGAGACGAACTTTCCAGTCTGCATTTAAGCATCAAAAAGATTTCATATGCTACAATTCTACAGTACTGGAGACAGACAAATAATGAATGAATAAATTCAAATATGAAATAACATTGTCACAAACCTCTGGAACAAGACCAAGAACACCAGACATAAATAGAAGATTATTTGCTTTGATGGCCTGAGAATATGGTCCTAGTGCGGCCGGAGCCTTGTCTGTTTGAACAGCCTCCTTTATTCCTACAAACAAGATGAAACACAAGCACCATTGTATGCAATAATTAATAGCATTCGATCAAATAACCAACAGATGCAATTAAGAGAATATATGAAGGAGAGAGGACATATGCAAAAGTAATACCTATGACCGAACCTACTTAATATGGGTCACCTATTCATTGACTACCGAGATAGAAATTTTCGGCTGCGTACGACCCATCTCTCAAAACTTGAATTTGCCAAGCCAAAAGGTCATGTAATTTGTTGATATTGGAAAAATTGGCACATGAAAATAGTACTTTTCTTGCTTTACTGAACTCAAATTTCTAGAATCGACAGATTTTCCATCTTACTCTTGACCAAATCTGTACCTCTGTACCTCTGTACCTCGTTCCTAGTCATAGAGTATGTAGATTGTAAAGAATACTATTTGATTGTCAGGTTATAAATTCCGCAAGAATGTTCTAAAGATTCCCAAACAACATTTCACTTTCAAAAGCAATAAACTACTTCCAATATGCTAGCCTAACAATACCTCATTTCAATTTTGCATTAATGCCCAGCATATTACAACCATTCTTTCCAGAACATATATCAAACAATCGAATTGTTCCTGAATTTTTGAGATGTAAACATAGTGCTGTTACAAGTGAACCAAGAAATCAATATATACATACATACATACATACATATATATATATAATGAGAAAAGTTGAGAATAAATGGAAATGGGAACATGATGTAAAAAAATTACGACATTTTCTCTTCGAAATTTAAAACCACACTCTATGTGGCATTGGCAGTACATGGTTTGCAATCAATTGAGACAACTAGTCAGATTTAAATGTACCACATAGAAGCTACTAACCATCAATCTTAAACCTAAACCTTATTTTTTTAGAAAAAAATAAAAATAAAAAAGAAATAAATAAAAAATAAAAACTCACTGGCATCAGTTGAAATGGACAAACAAGCAAACGGCTTCGATGGCAGAGAGGAAGAAGAAGACCGCCACAAGCTCGAGCCGGCAAGCGATACGCAGCCTATGCCGGCGGCGAAAGGAGCCCGGTTGCGCACTGCGCCCATGTCGATCGGTGGCGTAAGGAAGGATCGGGCGGCGGCGCTCCACGCCATTCTCTCTCTACTCGCTCGCTCTCTTTCTCTCTCTAACTCTTCGCTGTGTAACACTGACTTGTCGTTTTGGATTTTTTTTCCAGTCGTCGCTGCTTCAAAAATCGTGTTGAAACAGGGATTGTTGAGGTTCGTTTGGCAGCGAGGTTATTATTGTCTAGTTACGGGGTACATGGTGGTTTAACGTTAAATGTTTCGTTTGGCAAGAAGAATAGAAAAATGGATGCAAGGAAAAGAAATATATCCTTGGTAGCACCATAAGAGGCTGTTTGGCATGTGTTTTGTTTTGTTTTAAACCGGTTACAATAGCCTCTTTTAAGCCCAAAACATGTTTGGCTGGACTTATTGTGTTTGAAAAGGTTGCAAAACAATTTCAAAAATGGACCCAAAATATGAAACACCATTTTGGTGTTTTTTGTTGTTTCTTGTTAAAAATTACGTAGTGTAAGAAACAAAAATCCTCATTTTACTGTAGCGGAGGCAACAATTGAAGGACGTATAAAAGGAAAAAGTTGCAACAATCTAGGATTCGCGTTTGCTCTGGCGATTGCTAGGCAACAACTGAAGGACGTATAAATCCAAGGTTCCACTACTGTTTTCAGCCGATACCTTCAACGGTCTGCATTCTTTTGCTGTTATCTTTGACGATCTCCACAGGTTTGACGACTTTGTTTGAATATTGAGTTTTTTTTTTTAGTTTTTGTTTTTGTTTTGAGGTTGCAAATCTACAATATTTGAGGGGTTTCTCTCTCTCTCTCTGAGACTTTTGTGATTAATGGGTTGCAAGGTTTGGTCATCAATGTCTATCACTCAACCTCTACTTGTTTGGATTTCATGAATTTTTTTTTAATTATTTTATTTTATTTTATATCTAATTAACAATGGATTTTGCTTTTGGAAGATTTCTTAGCATTACAATATCTGGTTTCACTTTGAATAGACGATGGAAAGACCAATCTAATTGTTTTAATCTATGATCAATGGTAACGCAGATTTTGATTTTGAAAATTTTATAAGCATGACAAAAAAAAAAAAATTCCAGTGGTTTTGTGTGGTATTTACATATAATTTTTTCTGTTTCAACTGGTTTTAAGTTTATGTATCCATCTTGGTGTGTTTGCCAAATGAGGTGGGTGAGCTGATATACAAATTAATCCCAACCCTTCAATGAATGGCTTGGTCTTTGTTGACATTGTTGTCATGTACATGTACTGTGGAGTAATATGTGATCAGCTTGTTACACTTATATGCACTGTTTGGATTGACTTTTCAAACGCTATTTTTAGCTTTCTGGGCTTAGAAGCTATTATGAAGGGTGTTTTGATAATTTTATAGAAGAGCTTTTAGCTCTTAGAAGAGCGTTTTGGAAAAGCTAGGGACCCAGCTTTGGCAAAATGCTCTTCTAATATACACGTTGTAACGACCCTGGTTTTTAGGCCAATACGTCTTGTGATGACCAGAACTGGATCCAAGATGCGGAAGCTAGAAACAAGGCAACGGTCTCCCAAGGTACAACACACCTCTAAGACCCTAAGCTGACTTTCCATGAGGTCATGGAACCCAAAGGGATAAGTGCGGAAGTAAGAGATCAAAAAAAATAACAATTAAGCCCCTAGGGGCAAAATAGTTATTTATGAGAATATAGATTCAGGTACCACCGAGTACACCGCTGGAAAGATAATAAAAACCCAATCAAGATGGACTCAAGAATCGAATGATTCGGAATCCAGATGAAGGAGAAACGACAAGACGAAGAAAAACGAGCACTTAAGGTTAAAAGGGTAAAATGGTAATTTCAAACTGAAACGAGTACCCCCATGTACACCATTGGATAGACAATGAAAAATTAACAAAGATGGACTTAAGAATCGCATGATTCGGAGTTCGGATGGCAAAGATATCATGTCCTGAAGTCGAAGGAAGGGAAACCCTGCCCCGGTTAGAACCAAATTCTGACACTACCTTAGTAAAACATGAATAACTTAAGGTTACAAATGGAATTTGAAGCTCTAATTGGTACCATTAGAAAGTTCATTTTGACGCGGTCAGTTTAGACTCAAGACGGACCAATTCGGAGTTAAAACGAGTGAGATATGGCCCGTTGGAGAAAGATGTTTGGAGTAGGAACTGTTCCCGCGGGGGCCCGCCCAAAAGCTGCGGGGGCCCGCCAAACATGATAGATTCTCATGGGTGCCCGCCAGAACACTGCGGGGGCCCACCAAATGAGGCAGTGGGGTGGTCTGGAGCCTCAAAAAATGCAGAAATAGTGTTTTTAGCAGAAAAATGAGTTTGCAATGCAGTTTTCGTGGTCAAGATGACATTTTTTGGAAAAACACGAAGAAGAAACTCCCCCTAAAATCACATTTTCTATGTGACAAAGTTGAGAACGGAATTTATTTCCTAAAGGAAATTCCCAAAATGCCCTAAAGCAAGTTTCTTCAACAAAAAGGTGAAATGACTCCGTAAGAGACTCAAAAACGCAAACGAAAGGGTTTTTCATGAAAACGATCATGCACGCAAACGTAAATAGTGATTTTAAACATGCGGGAATGGTTCGCGGCTCCCAGAAATGACCAAGTCAAAATCCGACCCCCCAACGGCCAAAAAGGCGAAAATAAACTTGAAATGGAAAATTTGAAAACTAAAATCAACAAATGGTTTCAAATTACCATTTGGCCTGTAACGACCCGGGTTTTGATTCAACTCGGTACTACAATGATGAACCGAAGATTGACCCAATAACGGATCCAGATACGAAAATAAGAAACAAAACGATGATCTTCCAAGGCACAAAACACCTCTAAGACCCTAGGATGATCCTCCATGAGGTTACGGAACTCAAAGAAACAAGGTGCGGAAGCAAAGGACCGGAAGAATGACAATTTAAGCCCCCAGGGGCAAGGTAGTCATTTCTAAAAGTATGAATTCAAGTGTCACCGAGCACACCACTATAAAGGCAATGAAAAACTAATCAAGATGGACTCAAGAATCGCATGATTCGAAGTCCGGACGAAGGAGAAACAACAAGATGAAAAAAATAGGCAAAACTCGTTAATCAAGGGCAAAATGGTCAATTTGCAAATGTGAAGGGAGATTTGACTCTAAACAAGTCAAATAAAGTCCACATAACTTAAATTAATCATTACACAACGTTCCAAGAGGTTCCAAGAACATTGGACAAGAATCCCACGAAATGCCCCTTCCCGGTTTAAACAAAAACTGACACCCTCTCACTAAAATATGAATAAATCTCGCCACAATTGGAGTTTGAATGGATGGTTGGTGTCATTGAAAATATGACTTCAAGCTCATGAATTTAGGCTCAAGAATCACCCTATTTGGGTTAGAAACGAAGAAGTTATGGCCATTCAAAGTCGGAGCAGCAGTGCTGAAACTAAACTGAGGCTACTCTCGGGATCAGGTTATTTTGGTCGACCGAAATGACCCATTGGACGACTGAAATGCACTAAATTCATGTTGAAAACAAGTTTCTGAGGTGAGGTTGCTTCGATAGACCGAAATGGATCATCGGTAAACCGAAATAGGTCCAAACAGCGAAGAAGGCTACTGGAAATGATGGTTTTGATGCTCGAATGAAACCCAAAGGGCTTCGGTCGACCGAACTAGCATTTCAGTCGACCGAAATGACTTGAGGAAGTGCAAATGAACCTGTTATGCACAAAAAGCTGAAAGTCTATATGGAATCCCCCATGGCATGTTCAATTTGCATTATATGCAAGTGTGTGATGATGTGAACATGCAAGCAAGTGTAATATGGATATTTAAACCTATTACACTGGCCTATAGCCTCATTACATCCCATTTACAAAATTTGACATGTCAAACCTCAAAAGTTGACAAAATACATTTTAATGGCAAAACTTGAAGTTTAAATTACATACATATGAACTTAAAAGTTTGCGGCCCTTGGCCTCATGTCATACATGTCAAATACATTAAAAAGAGTGTACTTATGTACACTTTACATACATAGAATCAAGAATACAAGTTTTGTCATGTAAAGCCACAAATCACCCAAGCAATGAAATCTTCAAGTCTTGAGTCATGTACCTAAAATATGCCCCAGTAACATAGGGGTGAGCAACATAAAGCTACTCGTAGGAGATAAGCATGCATCGACCTAGCATTTTACAATTTATATCACCTTAAGGTGAAATATGTTAAAGGGCTCATGCCGCCTAACGACTATGTCATAGTGAGACTCAGGGAGCATCCTAAGCTACCCTAGAGTATAAGCAACAAGAATCATGATATATATATATATATACATATATGAAACCAGTCAAGGTTGGAGTAATCCAAAGAACATGACAAGTAGGATGCTTGAATACAAGTTAACAAGAATTACATTATCAATGCAATTTACACAATTAGAACATTCTAATTACAAGACAAGAGTATACACGAAATCAATGACAAGGCATAAAATCTATGCAATTAACAAGATTGGTGCATTCCACATAGCACGGCAAGAAGTATACTAGAAATCACGAATAAGGCATAATATCTACGCTAACAAGATTGGATCATTCCAATTAACACAACAAGATTTATACATGAGATCAAAGGCAAGGCATAATATCTATGCAATGAAACAAGATTGGAGCATTTGATATACACGACAAGTTTAAATCTTCAAGGAACAGCAACTTGAAATTTAAAGAGTGAAATCAAACAATGTGAAAACTTGGATATCGCTCGAATTAAAAACGTACTCTTGGGATCACTTTAGGGTTACCAACCCAAGGGTACCTTCCCCCGTTCTTGGGATCACTTTAGGGCTATTAACCCAAGGGTACCTTCCCCCGTTCTTGGGATCATTTTAGGGCTTTCAACCCAACGGTACCTTCCCCTATTCTTGATTGATATCCCAAATCCCAAAATCAACAAGTTGTGTAACCAAGATTGTATCAAATACAAGAAATGCATTAACCATGTTTCATGCATAACCAAGATTTTGGAACACACAAGTCATGCCCTAAGTTCTCAACTATAATGGCATGTGAAATGTCATGAAATCATAGTACGCATTTATATAGAATAGAACCAAGATATATAGCACATTCAATCTGTGATACCCCCGGATTTTCGGATGCGGGTTGGCCAGGCCCACGCCCGACTAACCGAGGATATC